CACCTTAAATTTTATGTGTCTTAAGCACCTAGCATACTTGCATCTTAAATATTTGGTAAATTATTCACAGTAAATTTTTATTCTAAAACAAAGTTTAGATTCAAAATGAAATTGTCATAAAATGTGAAATAGCTCTCTTATCCAATTAGCTTTGTGTCCAATAGGATCGTATCAGAATATGCTTTTGTAGTATGAAGGAATTAAAATTCGTTACAGTGCGTCTCTCGATGGAGAACCTTCGCTTTGACAGTTTAACGACTGTGTTCTCCTACACTGCGACCCAATCAAATCCTTATCAGTTCCCATTCAAACTTCGAGACAATTACTTCGGTTGTCAATAATCAAGAAGAAATCTTCGTCTAATGACACTATAACTGTCATATAATATTATCACTAATCTTTCACAATGAATAAATTTTCTAACAATCTCTGCCCGCAAANTTAAATCAAAAACTTTCACGACAACTGTAAAATAGATCAACCGTTTGTATTCTCACTTTCATATAATTAAAAATTTAATTATTAACAATAAAATAAATCATAAAATTTAAGAAATCTGCTCACTGAAATTAAGAAAAAACAAAAGTAATATTATTTTTTTAATGCATTAGAAGCATAAATAGTTTTAAATTTTAAATTTAATGATAAAATAAATTGCACTGGTAATTTTTCCACTCGGTTACTACGCCTTTACTGAGTAGATTTAAAATTATACTTGATCTTTAAAAAATTGTATTTACGAGAAATGCCTTCTTAATTTTAACCTATAAATACTGTAATATATCGAAGAGAAAAAATAGTAAAAAATTTTTAGAATTCAAAGTTAAATTTAGACCTATTACTTTAGATGTAATTTTTGCTAATTTTACTATGAGATAATTAACCAAGGACACAAAACTTGTATTATTACTTTGCATATTTTTAATTAATTTTTAAATTGATTAAGAAATTAAACCTTTTTTCAGCATCTTCTAGCCAGACTTTATACTTCTCGAGACTAACTTTCATTTCATCTTTTTCTTCATTTAATTTATCACATTCATATTTTTTGTCTTCCGTCTTTTGTTGCAACTCTTCCATTTTTGCTTTCATTTCGCTTGAATTATAAAAGTCTTTAGAAATAATTATGAAGGTTCAAAGTTCTTGATTGATGAAAATATCTCACGGGGTCATTTGCCAAACAAGAAAGTAATCAAATGAATGTACCTATAATCGCCATTTCCACCCTGATTAAGCATTTCCTCCAATTCATGTACTTTTCGCCATCCTTTTAATTTTTCATTTTCTAGAATGCCAATTCTGCAACATACTTTTTGCTAATTTTGAAATATCGAAATTTCAGTGGAAAATTTAAAATTGCACCAAAATAACTTCAAGGTCATATCAAGATTGATTTTTTTTGTCATTGCCAAAATTTTCACCCATTTTGAATTTTTTTTGATCGAAATTTTTTAATTTGAAAATTTAACCATCACCTAGCATTCGCATCTTGTAGCCAACATTGATGTTCGCCAAGGTACCACTGTGCATCATTCTTGGCCTTTTCTAGCTGTTCGATGTAATTATTCTTCTCATCAATTTCTTTGCGCAGATCGTTGATCAAAGAATCCAATTTTCTAAAATATTTTCTGTCAATTTTATTCTTCAAGCAAATCTATTAAATCACTGTAAATCACTTTCAAATTGAATTTCGTATTTCATTCTAATACAGTTTGCTTCTAATTTTTACTATAGTAGTAATTCGAAGTAAAATAGAATAATTTCCAATAATTGCAAGCAAAAAAAGCTGTTTTAGGATTAAATTTCAGACGGAAATATAAAAAATGAAAAATAATGTAAATTTTTATAAAGAATCTTGAACTTTTTTTTGGAATTTTTAAAACCGCACTTTTTTAAAAAGCTTTTAAAACCCTAAATTGAATTTTAAAAAAAAACTTTTAAAAAAACTCTAAACTTTTGAAACTCACTCCGTGCTTTGAAAAGCTGAAGCGTCGAAAAGACGATGTTCGAAGTCACGTAATTTATTCGTCAAGTCATTAATCACGTAATCTTTTTCTTTGCACACATTTTCCAAATGATTTGTCCTGCAAAATACAATTGATAAGTTCTGCACAGTAATATTTATGAATATAACAATAAAGTTACATTATAATACTTGAAAATGGCTACAATGTAATATGCAAATGTGGTCAGAATGTAATATGAGAGGTGGTTATAATGTAATGCATAATATATTTATAACATAATAATAATTACAATATAATATATAAAATGTATACTGCAATTCAGAAAAAAGTGCAAATCTCAAATATTGGGAGGCTGTTATATACTAATTTTTTTATTTTAGAAAGAAACGAATTTGTTATTTGCATTTATGCATTAGTGCTTTTAGCCAAGTATATAATTTTACTAAAACCGCTCAAGAAAATGAAATTTCGGAATAGTTAACCTGTCGTTTGCGTCCTCTAACCACTGTTTATGTTCTCCGAGGCTCCATTTCAAATCGTTGATCTGTTTATTCATTCTATCAATTTCATAATTTTTCTCATCGATTGCCTCATTTGACCACTGTTGTAGTCTATCGTACCCCTTAAAGTGATAATTCTTTTATCAAATCGATTAAACAATACATTAATTGATTGTTGTATTTCGTAATTTTGAACGTCAAAATTTCAAAATTTGAATTACTAAGCTATCAAATTGAACAATTCTTCTAAATCTCGAAATTTTTCAGTATTTCAAATAGTTTTTTAGGCCTTCACAGTACATTAAAAACGGAAAATAAATTTAAATACGATTTCAGGCTGTCGATCAAGTGAAAGACTTTCGAATTTTGTGTTTAATTCCGCGTTGAGGTTCGCTAATGATTGTGCTTTATTTCTTTCTTCATCCAGCATTATCTCCAAATCTTTGACCCTAAAATCATTTAAAAACCAACATGAATAATATTTCAATTGATTTTAATGGTGTATTTTTCTTCCAACTAATTAGTCAATTCGAGAATATAGATTATTCGAACGTTTTGTTTATAGTATCAAGTTATTATTTTCAAATCTAACTTCTTACATTTCTATATTTTAAATTAAAATAGCCAAAAAACCTGTCTTGAGTAGCATCAAAATGCCGTTTATGCTCGCTTAATTTTGATTCCAAATCACTGATTATTTGTTTCAAATAATTCATTTTTTTTCCCTTTTCGATCAGCTGATATTCAGCTCTAAAATAGTTTTACTCAAATTATAACCTTTATATTTTGCTGAAGCATTGAAATTTGCAAAATCTTTTCAAACATTTATTTTTTACAACTACCAAAAAATGCGAACCTTTCCTTCTGGCGTTTCAATTTCTCAAATATGTCCTCATTTCCCGTTCCTTCTTCCTAAAAAATAATGTTAAAGCTTTAATTTTGTTTATTTTAAATCACAGATTTCCTTATTTCAAATCCTGCCAATTCTCCTTGTAAATAAAATAGAAAACGTATTGAATTTAAAAAATGATATTTTAGTTCCAAAAGACGACATATGTGACTTCCGAGAGATGAGTTATTCTTACCTTTCCTGTATTGTATTTCGATGTTTCCATTCGTAAGTCACTGAAATTAATTTTTTTTACAGAGAAATTTTTATCATTAATAATAAACATGTTAAATTTGAGCTCTTATTTGATAAAAGTCAATACGTTATTACTGACTATTTTCGCTGTTCACTTTAAAGTTTAAATTTCGAAGAAATCAGCATCTTCAACTAAAGTTTGAAGAAATAAGATTTTCTTTGAATAAAATCATCACATTGTTAAAATTTTTGAAAAGATTAAATTTTATACTAAAATTTTGAAAACACCTTGGTAATGTTATTTGTTAACCTTTCAAATTATCGGTTTTTATAATTAGCTCTTCAATTCTGTGAAATTTTCTTTTGTAAATCATAGTGAAACTATGGTGTTTGTCTACTTTTTAAATTAAACCAGTTTTAATCGTTTATTTTTCTTTGTTAAAAAATTCAAGCACAAATTAAGTCAAAATTATTGCCTGATCAGATCAATCATACAGTTCTATTATTAATCCTTTTCCTACTGTAATAATTTGAAATGTAAATTTTCTGATAAAGTTTAATTACACCAGTTTATTATTGCTAACCTCTGCTTCGGGATATCATCCTCCGCCTGAGGCTTCTGGATATCAATCGATGTTTTTGAGCAATTTCCGGCGATAAACTATACTATTTTAAGTAAATTAAGAAAACATTTTTCATTAGTTAAAGCAATGTTTTCGTGTTGAAAAATTTTTTTTTTGCAAAAATTAAGAAAAAACACAATTTTAAACCTAAATTTTGCTAAAAATTGTAATTTTTATTCAACAATTTACATTTTCATGAGTTTTGTTAAAAATTAGAATTTTATTAAGAAAATTTCATTAAAAATTTGAGCAAATTATGAAAACTGACAGATCCGTTGCCTCGTTCCTCTTCATCAGTTCGAGCTTTGCAATCACTTTCATTGGCAATTTGCGCATCATGCGACAATAATCTGTTACCACCATACTTACAGTCTACTGATCCAATTGAAGCATCCTTAAACATAAACACATAACTCAACCTTTGAACTTAAGTGTATCATTGGAAAAAGCTTATTTATTAAGAAATACTTTTTCAACTTGAGCACTCATAATATAACAAAAGTCAGGGTGTGATAATTGAGAGCATTTTAAATTTAAAATTGAATTTATTCTTACTTTTCACAAAAAGCCTAAAAAAGATAATTCTTCCTCAGATCCTCTCTTCAATTCGATAAAAACTAGTAGTAATATCAGTAATGTGATTGAATTAAACTTCGTTAAATTATAATTTTAAGAATGAAAAGAAGAAAAATTTAAGCATAGTAAATATTTTCAGTAAAATTATTTTATTAACATGTAATAAAATGTTTTTTTCTAAATTAATTTGATAATTTTAAGTTTTACCTTTCTGTATAGATGAGACGGCATCCATTGATCAGCTGTAAAATTCAATTCTTTTAATCATTATATTCTAGAAGTTCCAGATTTTAATTAAAACAATATATTTATAATCGTCAACGCATTTATATACCTATTCAATATTTTAAACTTACATTTACCTAACATACGTTGTATCAAATTAACAGTTTTTTCGAACCGTTCTGTGGCGACATCATACTGTCCAGCAGTACCAATATTGTTGAAATGACGGCATCCGTGTGCTAGAAATTTTGGAAATTTAAATTATTTTTCTATTAAAAATAAATCTTATTTAAGTCAAAATAACAAATGTTTCTTTTGCTAACAAATTTTTTTTTATTTTTCAAAAAATTTTATTGAAATGCTATTGCTTAACCCATGAAAATAATCAGAAAAAAATTGTCATTGAACACTCGATATAATATCATTAAAACCTAAAAAGTAATCAAATAAAATTTTTTTCATATGAAATATTCTAATTATATTGCAATTCTTTCAGTGCAATTAATCATAGCAAAATAAGCGTGGTATTAATCAAAGTCAAATTGCAATTGTTTAAAATAAATCAATTTTGCTATTATTAGAGAATAAAAATAAATAATTACTTGATTATTTCTGAATCTTCAATTTTTGTTTTTTATATCGATTAATTCTGTTTAACATTTTTTTCAAAATTTAATTCTCCTATTAATTTCAAAAAAAATCAATTATGATCCAATGCAACAATTGATTCATTTTTCTAACTTTGATTTCATTTTTGATTTCAAAAAAAAATTTTAACTTTTTAATGCTCGAAATTTACAAAAAAATATTTGAAAAAATAGAACAATATTACAGTACTGCTCGCAAAAATCGGTCAATGATTAATTGGCGTTCCAAATTCCAGCATTTTCCTCTATCTCAAAGTTTCTCCTTTCATTTGTACACTTCCTTTTTTGATGAATTAATTCGGGTAAAACTAATTTTTCCAAGTTAATCAATTAATTATCCTTCCTCATCCTTCATATCTAATTAAAAATTTTTTGCATTTATAAGTTTATAACTATGTAATTAATAAATAGTTATATATTAAAGATTAATAATAGCAACTCTTATTTCAAACTTTGAATTAATATTTTCAAGATATCGAACGACAATTTTCCTATTTATAAATCATTTAGTATGAAAGACAGTCATTCAAATTTAAAATGTGCCTATAAATACCTTTACATTACTACTTATAACAAAAGATTTAAAAAAGTTCAAAAGTTATTTCCATCTTTTAATCTTAGTTTGCTTACAGAAAATAAAGCCTATATTCTTTTTTTAATTTAATCATTAGATTAGTGCATATGAATATATTCAGACGAGTGAAAAATGATGCGGTCCGTTGAATTTTCTTAAAATTAATAGTGAGCATTTCAATCATTAGTCATTCTTTCAAAGAATAAAGCCCGCAGTTTTTTGGTTGTAAAATAAAATTTACAACAAGTTTTCATTTTAAAAAATACACATTGATAGCACAGACTATCAAAAATTGTCAATTTAATTAAAATTTTCGGAGTTTTACCTATCTTAAACCTTAATTTATTAAATTATTTGCCATCAAATACTAAATGATGTTCGATGCAAATTATGGTCAATAATTAAATAATAAGAAATAAAAACGAATGAAAGAAATTTTTTTAGCTTAAAATAAAATTTAATAATATTCTTCATTTGTTTATCTTTCTCAGTTTTAAATTTTCGATAATTTTCAAATTGCAAAAGTTTAGACATAAATGATGATGGCAAGAAATGATGAATAAGTGACTGTTGTTTTGAAATTTAAATCGCCTTTTTTTCGAAATTCAGTTGAAAATTAGTTGATGTACTGTAAAGTTGTTTGAAAATTAATTCCAAAATAATTAATAATGCTCAATTTTATTAATGCAGTTTCCATTTTGAGTTATAAATAATATCATAAATCTATAAAATATGAGTGAAATGACATTTCTATTTATTATTCATATATTGAAAGTATGACAAACCAAGTACAACGTAAATAGGCTTAGAATTCCAGCCTGCGGGACCCTTTAATATACAGCCAGTCGCGCCATTATATCTGTAATTTAGCCTTCGACAAAATATTTTTTAATCTTGAATTGGAAAACATAAACAAATATTGTACGCAAATTTTCATACTAACTTTTAACTTCATTTTTTTTTGACAAACAGAAAAACTCTTCAAGGAGAGATAGAGAGAGAGCGGGAGAGAAAGAGAGAAATATGGAAAAAAAGAAAAAATGAAGAGACAAGACTTCAAGGCCTTTTTGCGATCCTCATCTTTGTAATAAAGCCCATGTGCGCCAGGTATAACAGATTGTATGGCTGATAAAAGTATTGAATCATCATGTTCTAATGGGATGTTCACCGGTTCCAATTCAATACGAACCCATCCTAAAGAATATTCACATTAATCTTATCACTAACATTTTCATTAATTAAATAATATTTTCTTAGAATTTAGAAGTTGAACATTCGTTGTATTTTTATTTTTCCATGCAGTAAACCTAAAAACTTCTAGCAAAACGTGTAGAATTATGGATGTAGAAAAGAATTTTTCCGTGATTATGCCGTAATGAATTTATGCAAATGCTGTACTATCCAATTAAGTTCAAATGGCATAAGTTTATTTGAAATAGTTTACATGTTGATGAAATTAATACAGTTTGATTGAATGCTTTACCTGGTGGTGGTAGTGTGGAGTCCATGACTGGAGGAACGTCCATGGATCACTTTGAACCTAAAATATTTCATCATTAAAATTTTAATTTTTTAAATGAGTATGCATTTGCACAACGTATAATGAAATAATGCGCAAAATGATAGTATACAAATAGCGGATAAATGAGAATGAACAAAATGAGAGAACTATATTTGAGAATTTGAATTTGCCAAGAAACAATATCAATCTTCACCTCTCCACAACAGCTATTATTCTAAAATCTTTATTGTCTCCAAAAAAAAAAATTTTTACAAATAAGAATTTTATATTCTAAAAAATTATACAGTAATTGTAATTTTTGTAATATCCCGCAGTCACGTATCAGATTCAAGGGCACAGAATGTCTGTTAAATTTAAACTTCAGGTATCCAGTTCGATAATATACTTTCAGTAAATTTCCGATAGGAATAGAAGTGATAATTGCTAGTGTTAGTGAACTTTGTTAAGCTTTGAAGATGTCAATTGCAATTTTAAATCATAAAAAAATTCAATAGGGCAACTTGAATGATGTTGGGAATATCACTTCATTATTTTTTTTCTGTTATCACTAAATAATCAATCATTTTTTCAAATTAGATGTGGAAAATGTAGCATTTTTTTTAAACCATCAAATGGAAAAAGTGAAGAGGAAAGTGCAAAATAATTGATAATTATTAAAACTCATCAAAAGGCTATCATAAGGGGCATCATTTTTTGGACAATCATTTAGTTTTTATGAGAAATAAAATCTGTAAAGTGATTTCAATTGATTAATTGCAGAAAACTAATTTCTAGCATTACAGTTAAAGTCTCGTCAATTAGTGTAAGCTAAGCCAAACTTTTCCAAACTTCTGTTCAAAAAAGTTCAGTTTCTGTTCATTAAAAAAAGGACATAATGAATGGCATTGTAAGCAAATTCCTAAACATTTTGGCAATGGTAAAAGTTGATTTTATAATGACAAAGTAATACCTAACCTTTTGTTGGGGAGTATTTCGTACCAAAAGTTTTCCATTCTGCCGCCAAAGGTAAGTCAACAACACAAATAAAAAAAATGAACAGTTCAGAATGACTTGTCAACAAAAAAAAGCTAACAAACGATTGCAACTTTTCCTTTTTTTATTAATTTTTTAATATAAAAAAAATAGATTGTTTTTAAAATGAAATTAGCGTGTGCATATAATACACTAATTTCACTTAAAAATTGATATAAAATATTAAGCTCATTTTTAGCATTTTGCAATGATTGAAAAACATTTCAATTATCCGAAGATATTGAATAATTAATCAAAAAAGCGATTCGTTAAATAGTTGAATAAAAGAAAGTATTTCATTATATTTCATTATATTTCATTAATGGAATTTAAATTGATAAAGTTGATTAAATTATATACAACATAATATAAATAGTGAAATAGTTCAAGAAATCTTATTGGATCCACTAAGCAATTTTTCTAAATTAAAGCATATTGATGCTTGGATATCATAAAATGCGATTATTTTGGAAAAAGAATTATTGTTTCAATCGTGAAAGAATATTGGTTTAGGCCATCTTATTTACCGATCAGGTCATTTTCTCTAACCATTGATCACTTAAAATTCCACTTACTTGGCTCACAACATACATAATAACAAAGCATTTCATTTTTTAATCATTGCTACAATTCAAATCATTATTGTGATAATGATAATGTTATTGAGTACAGTTATTCTTACCGTAAATTATCTTCTTTTCATTGATAAGCTAATTATACTGATTTCACATGTAAATCACTTTTTTTGCAGTTTTATTTGATTTTAATAAATAAAAATAAAAAAGAAATTAAAAGTGGGGGCGGTAATTGCACCACCAAACATTAACTTCATACAAATGATGATAATGTCATAATGGAAAGAAACGAAACCATTCAGCAAAAAAAGCTTTCAGTTTTGTACTGTCCAATTAATCAAATATATTTTTTATCAGTTTTTTTTCTTCTTCATTTGTGGAAACAAATTATTGTAACCTTAACAATTGTTTGCTGAAGATAAAAAAGTGATTGAAAATTTTTCATTTGTCAATTTTTCTCTGGTCTGCCAGATATTAGTGTGTGGTAGGACGTGGAAAACGAGTTTTCTAAAGAACTCTAATTTAAGTAATAATTGCAAACTCAAATACCACCATCATAGATTTTTGTAAATGGAGGAGATAAAATTTACTTTAAATCAAAAATTTTAATCAATTTGTGCGAACTATTTCGTTTTAATATTCAAAAGTATTCATTATGAATGGTCGAAGTGATATGTTATGATTGAATAAAAGAAATGCTATAGAAACAAGCAGAAATTAATGAGATATAGAAAGATATTGTCTATTGGAGTGGAGTATATTTCCGCCCGGTATTGCTTAAATGTTACATCAGCAATTCATCAGAAAGCATTTGTCAGTTGGTTGTTTAAAATGAGAGGTAATTTAATTTCATCAGTTCAGCATATTGAACAGCTGTGGTATATCCGTTCGTAAAACGTCAACCTTATTTTTTCATAATTATAAATTTCAAAATTACATTTCCTCTTACAATCCTTTCAAGTAAAAATTTTAGAAATAGTTAAGACAAATTTAAATATATTTTGTTGACATAAAATGACATAAGAAATGAAATGTAAATGATAATGCATAAAAGAAATGAAAATGATAATGCATATAAAGCAACAATTTTTAAAACAGTTTTCATTTCAAAAAAAGGACAGGGCAATTTATATTTTGTTGAGGATTGAAAATTACACGAGAAATAAATTCTTAGAAAGTTTTTTTTTGGAACTATTCTGTATCATAATGAAGTTTAATTGATTACAAGACATTTATTTATTGGAATTTTTTCTCATCATAGCTTCTTTTTTTGCTATAAGAAATTGAAAAATGATGACAAATGTTGATTCTCGTTTTTTAAACAATACATGGTGAATCAATAAACTGTTTACTTACCGCATGTATTTAAAACATAAAAGTTAAAGAATAACCGCTAACTTCATAAATGATAAGTTTACTTTATTGCTAAACAATTAGCAGTAGAAAATTAAAAATGAATAAAGAGTTTAAAAATATCTTGCATTTAGTGACAGAACCATAAAAGTCAATATGAAAGTAATGTGAAAGATACGGGTAGAATGTTGCACATTATTTTCATGAAATTAATATAACCTTTGAGCTTTTCATGCATAATTGGAGTAATTGTTACTGCGGCTGTGTTTTATAATTATATTTTAAAAATTGAAAATAAATTCTATATGAACAAATAATAAAAAAATTCTTATTTATTTTAGTGAGCAAACTGAAGATGTTAAAATTTCCAAAAAAATATAATTTTTCCAAAGTTTTTTTTCATTTTTTACTTAAATTTGAAACTACCACTTATTTAATTTATAATTCAGTCTATAATAATCAAAAAGTTTAAAGTGAGAAATCACCATTTATCACCAAAATTTTTTTCACCATCCTTTTTAACCTTATCTTTCCTTTCTCTCAATCATTCATTTCTTTTTAATAAAATTTCTTTCCATAATTTCTTATCATAAAATCTGAATGGTAAAATACAATTAATTTTAACTTATCATATAAATGTAATTATCAACGTATCAAACTCATCGATACCTTTAGAATATTTAATGAGTATTTTTCCATCCATCAAACACGATAAAACCATTCGGCCTATTCTAATTTTCTTTTATTCTACCTTAATCTTTCTCACTGTATAAAAAAGAAAAAAAGCAATTATTCCATATATTTATTGTTCGCGGAGATATATTAACTTTTAATGAAGGTAAGAGAATTTTATAGCTACTTATCACTCTTAACATCTTTATCACTGTTACAGATATCATTAATATCAAATAAAATGGAAAATTATTCAATTCATTTAACTTAACGGATAATACGAAAAAATTTTATAATTTTGGAAAATAAATTGAAAATTATGCTGCTGTGTTGAATAAATGCACCATGGTATCACTTTTCCACATTTCTATTTTCATATTTGATATTAAATTGAATAAATATAATAACTGCTAATGCAATGTTACTAAAAGTATCTAAAAAAACTACTATGGAGAAAAAATATTATGAAAAGAATAATTTTTGTATTTCAATTTTGTGAAATTATTAAAACGAAATTAAAAATTTTTTAATTTAAACATATTTTTTGTTGCACTAAATTTTAGAGCAATTTTAAAAGAGAACGAAGTAAGGAGAAAATCAAGTGATGTCTGAGAAATATACAATGCAATAAATTTTTCCGCTAAAAAGAAGAACGAAAAATTTTGCAAAATAAGACAGACTCACTTATTTGAAATTTATGGGTAAATAACCATCGTTGATAAAGACTGAAAGGACATAATAACTAATATATCAAAAATTAGAAAATAAAGTCCAGAATAAATTCAAAACATCAATAAGCGTTTCAAATATGGACAAATGAAAAAGTATAACAAATATTTTAAGCAACTATTTTGACTTCGGGCAATCGTTTTACGCATGAAAAACGTTTGCGTCGGAGAGAATGCAAAAACTTTAGCCTTTGTCGCGTATATTTAATCAAAGAAATTAAATTTTATCTTCTTAAAAATGAATGAAACAATTAAAATAGTTACTTTTCTTTCATTAATCTAAATAAATATATCTTATATAAACATAAAAATTTTTGAATTTAATTAATCAATAAATTATAAAGATCGATTAATTATAAATATAATTTACCTTGATTAGATTCCAGTAATCGTCACTTAATAATCCAAACTTCTGAGAGGTTTTTTTCGTGAAATTGAAAAACTAATCAATAAAATCTCTCATTAAATTGACTGAAACTTCTATAATAAGCTATCACTAGCAAACTGAGCACATTTTAATCTTCCAATGTAATCAAACATTCCGCAATCACATATTGTTAAATGTGAGAAAATCAATTAAATAAGAAATAAAATTCGCTAACAACATTTTATTTCACATTGAGTTAACAAAAATTCACGAAGTAATTCGAAGCGATGCTTATATT